GTACTACAAAATTCTCACCTGCAGGTCAATTTGTGATGATCTCTAAGAGCCCTGGGTGATTGTGAATCCCTATTTGAGCTCACTGTGTGATCAGAGGGATCCACTTTCTCCACATGACATGATGACATGATGTGTATAAGGGACTTTCCCCTGACAGTCAAGGTGCCTGGACAAACTTTGCTTTCATGCCAATTGCTTCTGAAGCAGCTCAAATTCCTTCATAAGGTGATAAGAACTCTTTTTCAGTTGGTGTTTAACAGGCCTCATATCCTTTGTATCCCAAACTCCAGTACCCCAGTGGCTCTCCTCAAGTCTCCCTGGGTACTTTTTGCATTCTCCCCTGCTCCCGTGTAGAGTGTCTTCCATCACATCATGTTCTGACTTGCCCAAAGCTACTTCATGGGCAATCTCCTGTTTAATTTGTTCAAAGGCTTGTTGTTTTCTGGGACCCCACTTGAAATAATTTCTCTTCTGTTTCATAAGATAGAGAAGGCTTACAATCTGTCTGTTCTCTGGGATATGCATTCTCCAAAACCCCATGGTGCCTAGGAAAGCTAGTGTTTCCTTCTTGTGGTTGGCGGGAACATAGCTGTTATTTTGTTAACCGCATCCACTGGAATCTGATGACATCCACCTTGTCATTTTGCTGCTAAAAACTAAATTTTCTGGGCAGATCCCTTAACCTTACCTTTACTTTTTCTTTATGACAGAATAGCTTTCAGGAGGATGTGGATTACCTTCTCTCTTTTCTCAAAAAAAGAATTTCCTTCCTCTGCTGTGTTCCCTCATACAATGATGTTATGTACATAATGAAAGTCTTCCACAGCCTCACTTTTTCCCAGTGTAGTCTGGATAGTCCATGGCAAGTAGTGGGGCTGTATTTCCATCCCTGGGACAGTCAGTTCCAGGTGTACTGCACCACCACCACCCCCTTCCAGGTAAAGTCAAACTGTAGCCTTCACTCTGCTGATAGAGGAATGGAGAGGAATGAATTGTCAATGTCCGTAGTGTCAAAGTCCAAGACTTTCCTGTCTTGAACTCTGGTTCATCCCAAGTCTCTAGCACGACCAGCTCAACAGCACTTAGCAATGGTGTTACTTCATTCAGGCCACCATAGACTCCACTCTCCACTTAAGCACTGGACATATCAGAATATAAACGGTGAACAAGTCTTGCTGGCCACTCCTATGTCCATATAACCATGACAAACTTCAGCTATTAAATATTTATTAATACATCTACATTGGGCTTTTCTGTTCTGATATCGTATTTTTAAAAATATATGCAATGACTAGTCCCATTTCTGATATGGCAGACTGAAACTCCTGCCTTTCAAAATGCAAGCTGGCACCTGTAATGTCCTTAATGCCTCCCTTACAGTTCATTCATCATAGTCTAGACAGAAAGTTTTGGATGAAATTAGTTAGATAGTAGACTGACACAATAATTCTACTTAATTTTTTTTTTTTTTCATGCCAAATGTGGCCTATGTTTTACAATCTATTGTTAAAATTGAAAAATGTTATTCCGGAAGATTTTTCTGTTGTAAGTCTGGGATATACTATGGTGCTCTTAAATAGCACAGAGGCAAAACACATACCCAAAGAAATCAGTAATCTTTTCCTGTTGTTCAGTTATCTGACTTGAACTTGTTTCTAATAGGAGATATTTTTTTCCTGCTCTTAAATATTCTATTAACTTCTGAATGCTTGCTACAAAATCCTTACACTTCTCTGGGTTTTGTTTTTTGTTGTTTGTTTTTTGTTTTTTGAGATAGCAAAAAAAATATATCCATAAAGTTAAACTACCTAAAGAATAACAACAAGGCATCTGAGAGGCATCCATAATTTCCAAGTCAGTTGTACGCACTTTAAAATTGTCAGATTTGCAGCTCAAATCAGTCCAACAGATACTGGATGCCCAGAATAGTCAAGCATACACAAGAAACACTTTCTAAAATTATTTCTGTATCATAAAAAGCTGTCAATCTGTTTGCATAATCAGAAATAGGATTTTGGCATTGCCTTATGGAGCTTTATTCTGAAATACAGAGTCTAAGTTCACTTGTTTCAGATTCAGAGCATTATAAATATAAGACCTTAGTTAAAATTGCAATAGTTTGTTTTATCCTCATGCCTATTATGTGTGCCTTGTAGCTTTCATCCTTTTTTACTGTTTTGATCTTGGACAAAACATCAGTCTTTGAGGTGGAAGGTACACTAAAAACTGATAGACACCTTTCACTTGCAGTTCCTTTAGACTTCTGTAGTGATCATGAGGACATTGGTAATCTGTTTTCACTATATTTTCTGCAAATCTGCTTTTAATAAGTACTTAAATGTGCCTTTGGTAAATGGAGTTAGCTACTAAAAAAAGTTAAAAATAATCCATATGAAAAAACCCAAACAAAGGAACAAACAAACAAACCAAACCAAAGACAAAAAACTAAACCCCAAAACCAACAAACCCTTGGAGCAACAATAATAGGATTTATCCTCAAGAATTCTTATGTCTACATTCAAGGGATAATCTTCACCTCTGGTTCTTTCCATTGCTTCTATTTTGGGAAGAAATTACTAAAAGTAGGTAGGCTTTTGATACTATTTCAAAAAATATCAACACAATCCTGTTTCTTTTTACATAAGAAGAATCAAACATCTGGAGACTATTTCTTTGCTCAGATTCCAAGACACGTTCATGCCGGTATTCATCCCAAAGGTATTTTCTCAGGATATTATTCAAATCCACATGTGCTCATATCCAGCCTGTCTATCAATGTGTGTCCTTTGTTCTTATGTCATTATTTTTGCACACAGGAACAGTTTCAGCAGATAGCATTCAGCATTTCAAAGTTAGCCATGGTTTCTATAAGCTTTCCTCTCTGGTTTTAGCCTCAGTGACAGGCAGTCAGTACTCTCACCAGTTTCAATATATATAAAACCCAGCTTCAAGCATCAAAGAAAGAAAATACACTTATACATGCAGGTTGCTTTCTGTGAGGAAAATATTAACGAGAACATATGATAAAAGGTGATATATTTAGCAGAACAAGAGGGATAATGTCAAAATAAATAATTGCAGTCTTCTGGTTTAAGAGATACCGTCAAACTTCAGGTAATTGCAGTCAGTTGAGAGACAAATTACAACCATTTCCCGAAAACACAAATTTTCTTGCATAGATAAGAAACTATAGGAAGAGGAAATACAGAGTTTTCTTCCTGAAAACAGTCTTCAGGAACAGTTGTAATATAAACTCCCGATCAGTTTTACTTAGAAACCAATTATTAGGGTGGAGCATGGCTAGAAACCCATAAAAAGAGCAGAGATTTATGAAGTTCAACTAGTAAACAGCCGTCCCTACAGGAGAAATCTAAGCCTATTTTTCAATTCAGACTGTCTTCTAGTGAGATATTTTTCTGAACAGTGTTGAACAACCTTTCCTAAATCAGGTTCCACATTGTTGTAGCAACATACAAAGTAGCAAGAAGTGACAGGAATGAAATGATCCTCTCAATAGTATACGAATCCAGAAATATCTGCTCCTTTAATCTGGTGTTTAAGACAATGCAACTTTCAAGTGGAATATTTAATTCTGGTGCCTAGGTCTAACATATATATATTAAATAAATTCTGAACATAGTATGGCCACCAGCATCCAATAGATGTCTTCGTTGTGGCTTTTTTTCTTTAGACTTCTTAATTACTGATATAAAGTCATAATATGAAAACTAATATATTTTAAAGGAAATAATAATAATAATAGTAATAACAACAATAATCCACCCAACAATAATAAGTCCAAAATAACCCCTCTACCAGCAAAAATTATTGATATTTTAGGTCTCTATCTGTTACCTTATCCTCTTTTATTTTGTTCAGCATTGCATACATGATAACACAATCTGGAAGACCGTCACAGTAGTAATGCACTCAAAAAGACCATCACAATCCTAATGTGGTCTATATAAATTGAACTTGATACAAAGTTGCAAAGAAATTGCTGTTCCTCTGGCCTTAACACTACCTAGTGAAGACTATCAGTCAAGGAGCAAGGAATAGTCAGAATCAAGCTCTTAACTGAGATCTAAAACACTGGAGAACAGAAGTAACTGAAGTTTCAATTTCAAACAATTCTAATTAGGAATTAAAAAAATGTTATTTGCTTGCTAAATTGCAAACCAATTCCTATTGATGTGATATCCTTGAATTTTCTTTCTGTACAGGTATAAATGTGTAGGGTGAACAACACCATATACACCAGAACTGTTCATTAGTTGTAGTTTACAATCAAAGGAGAAGTTGGAGAAAGCACCACCTTTGAGAGGGAGCTAAACAGAACAAATGCATTTTCCTACCTAATTTTCTAAGACTCTCCAGTACTGCAGGAACATCTCTGTAAGACTTAGAAGATTTCTTGGTCTTTCTGTTTACTTCAGAAGAGTCTGAAAGTAGCTTCAGTTCTTGTTCTTAGAACAAGGGAACTGTTTCTTTTGCTAGTGATGGGAGTCATCTAAAATGTCATTGTTACACCATGAATTTGAATGGTAAAGGTCCTTCCTGCAGAAAACAATTTATGCTTTTGACTAGAAGGGAGCACAAAGAAGGATTCAAATGGTCCTAGAGGCAAACTCAGGGATTCAGAAGTCAGAGAGAAGGCTGTGACTAGAGATTGGAATGCGCCTATTTGTGCATATAGGTATGTGAGGATTCACAGATGTTTAAACGTACTCGTTTCCTTTGCATGCCCAGTAATAACTAATGACCTCGTGCCAGTGAAAGAGAATTTAATAATTTATACCTTCAATGATATATTCTTTGTCCTGCACATATACAATTCTACTGTTTCATAGTATTCAGCGCTAGAGGAAAATGCGTTCATTATTATTAATGTTCAGTCTTTCTGTTCAAACTACAGATATTAATCTAACAGTATTAATTTAATCATTTCAGGTTTTACTTTATTTTGACCCACACTCTTAATCTGTGTTCCAAATACCTTGCTCAGACAGACTTCACTAAGGTGAACTTGTTTTCTAGGATCTTAATTTGATGGTGGTTCCTGCTTTTACAATAAAAATGTGGACACAATGAGATACAGAACACAGAAGAGATGCAGGCAAAGTAAAATAATAGAGGAAAATTAAAAAAAACATGCCAAAGTTTTTCAAATTATAACACACAGAGTTAAGAAATGTCTTGAGACATTCTCAAAAAATATTAGTCATATTTCATTTTATTTCACGTCAGTGAGGGAGACCAAGCCTGAAAGTGGAACACACACATTTTGTCAGACAAGCACATCTGATATCTTGACTATGAACATAAACAAATTTTTCACCTTTTAGCAGTTGCTGCTAGACATATAGTAGACACAGTCTCTGTGGTTTACAGACTTTTTTTTCCCACATTAGTTGTCTTTAAACAGAATTTTTCCCTCCTCTCAACTCCTTTACAAATAATTCTATTTGGATTTCTAGGAACCTGTAAGAGGTTATACCATTTTTTACTTTTGCAGTAGGTGTTAAAGACTTTGCAACAATCTCTTTTGTTATCATATTGCATAAAGCCTTGAAAAAAATATAATGAGCATTTGCCTGTTAATTCTGTAGAGTCAATGGCAAACTAAACATCTAGAAAAATATCACCTGAACTGGAAGAAAATCAGTATGTGAGCTGTGATGGGCCATGATCAAGTGGAATTATGGCAGTCTGTGACTGACCCCCATCACAAAAAAAGTTAAGATACAAAGTCTTCCTTATGATTCATATAATAATACAAAAAATGTGTTCAATTTTACACACACATTTTCTATTTTCTAAAATTAAAATCTCCATGGAAATCCCCTAAAGCCAAGAAAATAAAATACCATGCAATGAGCTATGAAATGGCTTTCACAGATGAAAGAAAATAATGCTAAAAATGGTGTTTAGAAATCCAGACTTTAATTTATTGTTTCCCATCCAAACACAGGGTCTGGACAGATGCATTGAGGCAGCATTAAGTTTGACATTTGAAGAAGATAAGCATCTTGTTTATAGTAGTAAGAAAGAAGATGTTAACAGATAAGAAAATTCTGTTACTGTGGAAGGAATGAGATGTCCTAAAATAGTCCTTATAACAACAAAATTATTTACCAGGTGAATCTTTGAAGTCATAAATGATCATGTGTCTTAGCCATGGTCATTCTGTATAAAACAAAAAGAAAAATAAAACAAAAATATCAATCCTGAAGTTTTATGTTGCAGATAACACCTTATGTGAGAAAAAGGTTAATGATATGCATGGGGATGTTGAATAAGCTGTAATCAGCAGCTGGTCATGGATAAGACCTGTATAACATGAAATGTTTATCTTAAGCCAGAGGAAGACATGACTATAATATAAAAATAAGGGGATTTTTATTTTTTTTTAAATAATCTGTTTAGAGGTTTGTGGAAATTCCACAAGAGTGTGTGTTTTAAGATATCTTGTAGTCAGTATGTCTAAAGCTTAACACATAGAGCTGTTCATAGATTTTTCTACTTAAATGATCTTTTGCTTGAAGGTGCAGGTTTTCTTTTTATTTTTAAAGCAAATAAAAAACCTGGAACAGTGATATAACATCTGAGAATTTTGGATAGGTTTCACAAACAAGAACTGAACATCTCTCCCCTTAGTCGAAAAAATATTTTTCTCAGCCTATTTGATTTTCAGAATTTATTTTCTTTTAGCACTGGAAAAATGGCAAGATCTGGTGGAATTTTTGATAGAGATGATTTCTTTAATCTTCTCTTTGAGTGGCTCTTTCTGAACATAATTTAGTAAATTATGATTTAAAATCTCAAAGGCAAGTATAGGGAGCTTCTGCATAAATAAAATTGAACTAAGAATTTTATGGTTTTCATATGAAGACGTCTGAAAGTCTCTGAAGCTTTACAAGAGCTATATTTAATTCAGGCACTGAGTGCTTATTTGAATGTTTAAAAAGAGATTATAAATAAGTTTAAGTGGTGTACTTTTTTGTTAGAAAATATTTTTTAAAAAGTGTTTTATTGACTTCAGTAAGTGTGAAATGATTGAAGCTATAATGAACAGTTTATGCTTGAGCATACAAGGACCCTAGGTATTTATAAGTGACAGGTCTATGAAATACCTATGAATGAAAATGACCCCAGGTAACTGAACACTGCTTTTGCAGCAGGTATATACACAGCCAAATAATGAAATGAAACCCACAGAGGACACTCAAGATATTTGACATGAAATAATTTATGATTACTGCTGGAGTAAAGAAAGTGACATTCAGATTTCCTACAGATCTGTTACAGGCTACAACAAAACTTGTATCTAAAGCAAGGCAATAGAATGTTATCTTTTAATGTATAACATAATATCTACATGGTGTGTAAAATTAGATATGTACAGTAATGAGAGTATTAGGCTGTCTATTAGGTTCATAAGCTTATATTACATAGACCACAGTACCATATAGCACAAACCTTTTTTTCTTCTATAAATATTCAGACACACTGATAAGAAGTCATGACTCATTCATGTGACCTGACATCAGATGGATTGTTTTTCAGAGACTGTATTATATGTGTGTACTCAACCTGTCAGCCTGCTAGGCAGAATCACTACCATGAGAATGATTACATTTTCTTTTTAATAACTCAGCGTTGTAACATTGTCCAAAAGCAGAAAAAATTCTCTTCTCTCCCAAAAAGTGGCTCTGAACACAATATAGAAACTAAAAAGCCTTCCCTTTAGGCTTCACCTATCTAGATTTCTCTACTCTTTTCCCATTATGAGAATTCTTTCATACTTTCTATTTTTTTAGACTGAACATAGTGTTGATTGTCACTCTCGCTGAACTCCTCGCTGTGACTTTGTAACAGTGGAGATCGCAGGCAGTGATCTCAGCTAAATGAAGACCAATGCCCAGATTCAGGCTACACAACTCAGATCAGTGTGCTGGCAGAAGACTGACAAGTTGAAAGTCTTTGAGTCCAGAGAATGCAGGGAATTCCCTGAGAATCAAATAGTTGTATACAGCTGGATCAAGCCATAATGAGACAATTCAGCCACTGAGTGTCCTACACTTACACATTCCTTTTTTTTTCTTTTTTTTTCTTTTCCCTTTTTTTTTCCAAAAGAAAAATTTTTCATTTAAAATTAATTTAATTTCTCTAATCACAAGCTCTTCAACACCCCAAGTGTTGGAATTGCCAAAATCTCAGATTTTTTTCTGAATGTTAGATAAATGCATGATGCAGAATGTGCCATGCATAGAAGCATATGGCCTTTCTAATATAAAAGCTGTTGCTGCTCCTTTCAGCAACTTGCAAGGACCTCTGTTTGCTAACTGTTCCAGAGCTCAGCTGTTCACAGACTGGGCAATGGCAAATGATTCTGGGGTCCTTCTAATCTCTTTCAGGGACTCCAGATCACTTCTGTGCTAGCCCCATCACTCAGGCTTCTTTGTTTAGGCAGTACAACAAGTAGAAGCAAAATCAGGTGAAACCACTCCAACCTCCTTCGTGCTGACCAGGCAGCCACCCATTACAGAGTAGGCACAGAGGAGTTCAAGTCATATAGTTCTCTCCATATATTAGACAGGGTTATTTTTATTGTGCTTATTTATTATTAACCTTCCACCTGGCATTTATAGGACATTTATGTTCTCTAAGTGATTGCACTTGCTAATCAGCTATTACAGCTGCCAGGATGCAGCAAGAGCAGGCAGCTTTTGCCAGGGTAGATGATGGGGTGGCAGGCAGTGGCAGCAGTGCAGGGGACACGTGGGATAGACACAGGGAAGGAATTTTGCAGTGATCATTTAGTTCAGCCAAGAGTCCAGAACATCAGGTAGATCCCTAGTGATGAGGCAAGTCCAACATCAAGCTAAAAAGTCACAAAGCCACCTGCAAGCTGGGCTCTGGGTCAGAGTCAAGGAGGCACAGGACTGGGATACCAGAGGAATATCAAGGGTGAGAGCCTAGGGTTAAAAGCCTCTCCCAGGTGCAGTGGGTTAAGTCACTGCTGGGATTTCTCATAGGCAGAGAAAAGCATCATCAAAGTTTTCACTGAGTTCAAGCAGCTGAACCCTGGGGGCTGTAGGGAAGGCACTCAGGGCCCTGAAAACTATTAATGCTTTCAAGAACTGGATATAAGAGAGCATTAAAGCAGATCAGATATAAAGTAGGTCAACCATGCTTGGCTCCTTTTTGCTAGTTGTACATGTGCCTTGTATTTGGCAGGCCACTGAGCTGCAGCCTCCCTCTTTCCTTTTTACTCCACTAACAGCTAAACTAAACTCGTTTGCAGGCTTACAATTGTGTTCTTTACACATACTGCTGTCATTGCTAATAAGTCACTTAGGACTCACGTCACCTGTAAATGTTTTGTTTTCTTCCTCCCATGACAAGATGTAAGCCAGTGTTTCTTCAGAAAACAGGAATAGACAGGTAAGTGAAGGGAATGGCTATATGCATGTGCATGCATATTTGTGGCTATATGGGCATGTGCATATCTGTTTTCAATTACTTTAAAGCCCCTAATAAATTCTTATATCTGAGGAAGTGACTTTCATAAGCGTGTAAGCTGTGTTGGTACCACTAAGTTATTGTGCTGACATCACAGTTTTGTCATACACACAATTTTACAAATTATAATTAATTGTAGTACTTATTCTTAATTTTGAAGTTATTTGGTTTATGTTTTTAAGTCTTTCAGAAAGAACTTTCTCATTTTACTCTCTTTTTTTATTTTTGGAAGGAAACAAAGAACTGTCTTGTACTAGATTTCTGTAGAGTTCTCCAGAGTCTGTGGGGTCTTCACCTCCATGAAGGGTCACCTGTAGCCTGTTGCAATGCAGGGAGGCAGCAAAAGCAATGTCTGATTATATGAGCTCATGGTAAAAGAGGTATGTGGAACTGGGGGCCAAAGATTTGTCTGTTCCCTTTTCAATTTTTGATTACATTCCCATATTTAATTTCTTTTCAAGGCTGGACACAAACCCCATGATGGAAGAAGAAACACTGAGTGTAGACACGATATATTTCTACATCCACAGAACTGAGCAAAACATTATGGAGTAACAGTCCACAGTTAAATGAAGAAACTGATGTATATTTTGTTTTTACTTTCCCTTAGCTATAAGAATTAAGAGTTGTACTACTCTCCTTTGTTTATACCTTGCTTGCTTCTTCATTCAGATTGTATTGTGAAATTTAAATGAAAAAAAATACTATCAATGACAATGAATACTTATTTATAACTCAAGTAAATGTTGTAAACTCTGGACTTTCTTTGGTTTGGACTTTTTTTTTACCCCGTTATGTTTGGATATATAAAAGAATGAGTGGAGTGTTTTATAAATATTGACATCAAGTAGATGGGGGAGATTCAGAGATAAATATTGTTTCATAATTAATTTCAGTGTTTACAACACAGCCAACTAAATGAGGAAGAATATCACAGAGGAAAACCTAAGCAAGATAAGTTATTCTATAAGAAGACACAATCAAATTATCAATGGAAATTGGGAGCATCTCTTTAGATAGGGATGAGACTGGAGAACAGAGGAGAAATGTCAAATGCATGGATTAGAAAAGATACTAAGGCCTAGAACTACACTAAATCTGTGGACTGATGGAAGTCAACATAAGACAGAAAAAACAAGAATGATTTTTGATGCTAGCTCATTCAAGATGATCTTCTGAAACAAATGTTGGGGAGAAGCTGAGAAAAGAAAGGGTGAATCTGAAGACTAAATCTCTCTACATCTGTGTGCAGTTAAGACAGAAACTGGAGCTCAGGCAAAAATCATATCTTCATCAGTGTTTTTGACCTTCCTGAGGACTTAGCAATGGTTTACAATGCTTGTTTTGCCAAAATGTAATTATCTTAAAATTTGTCTCCCAAAATGTAATTATCTTAAAATGGTCCATTTGAGCAACATGTGATGCTATTTTATAGGACCCAAGGCAGTGAAATAAAGTGAACTAAATCATTATGAATCAGAAATTCTACTGTTTTTGCACTTAATATCTTATCTACTCTTAACAATTACAGAACATTCCATTTTAAAAATATGACGTTTCCCTACCATTATGCTAATTATCTGTTTTCTTGAAGTACCTTGGATTACATACTTGTCTTAATTTTTGTTCTTTGTAAGCTAATCTTGTAAGCTAAAATTCTTAAGAATAAATAAATAAATAACCATAAATAAATCTATAACCATACATTAACGTGACCTTTTTAAAGAGCAAGATCTTCTACATAGAGGACCCTCTAGGCTAAAATAAGGGCAGCTTCTGACCTTAGACAATCTGAAATATTACAAAAGGAATATGTCCCTATTAAAAAGGAACTGCAATCTAATTGACATGCTCTATAATTGCAGTCATGTATCAGTGGATAAATAAAACTTAAAAAACAATCAAGCAAACAATAAGTGAGAAAAAGAAAAATCCATTTGTGTTGCTTGGAGGAGTAAATCTCTGATGATAATTGCATGCGTTACAGAAGGTCCAAGGTGTCAGGATGAGGAGAACCTGTTGCGTGCTCAACATGCTCAGGGAGAGCTTATTTTTCCAAGATGTCTGTCAGAGTTTAAATCTCTAGAGACTGAAATTTTAAAATAAGGATTTACTCTGTGTGGTCCTTTCTTTACTACTGCTGACATTGGATAACATGGTATATTAACAATTCCCATGGCAGCAGATGGAATTTTTGGACACAAGGATGAAATTTGCTGCACTATACTGTCAGGTTCCAAACATAAAAATTACTCTCAATAGTGTTGCTTTTTAAGAAATAAATAGTTAGGTCTGAAAAAACTGGTTGAGATGGAGTCACTCTTATCTTCTATATTCCTGTGTACAGTACAAATTACATATGTAGTATAGTACTCCAAACATCTCCCAGTTGAAGAAAAAAAAAAAAGGAATACTGTGGAGGACTTCATGTGCTCTCACAAACACAAACGGTAGCCATCATCTAGGGCACAGGAAAAAGTTTGAGTGGAGTTTAGCAGATACAAGAATAGTTTGTCAGGACACAGGCAATTAGATGTTTAGAGAAGTTGCTCATTTTCCCAAGAGCTAAAGTAGGTTTAGGAAAAAAAACCCTTTCCGTGTATTTTATGAAGAAATTTCATTCACTGATTATTTACTTACAAGGGAAATAAACTGAGCTTGTAGCTAGCAGCTATAAGGATACTCAAGTGAAAGCAATCCTTATTTCCTGTAGCAGCCCTAAAAATTCCCTTTGACATTGATTGGACATGGCACCTTGCACGGTAAACAATGTTATAATTACTTATCTTTTCCTGAAAAAACAAACCAAATTTCCTATGGTATTTTTAGGTAACCTTAGGCCCAGTCTGGTTACTCTGTAATAACTATTTTGTGGGGCAGATTTCACTTATCAATATTTGAAGGCTGAGCAGAGGAAGCAACCTGATCATGAAAATTTAGACAATTTGGAAAAAATGGATTAAAGAAAGGGAGATATTGATATCTTTCCTGGCTTCCAGAAGCTTTTAAAAGAATGAAACAGAAGAATTTTGTAACCAGTAGAAGATATACCTTCTATAGGATTTTGATGTTTTTTGGACAACACATTAAAGATTAACCTGTCACTGCTGCATGGAACTTTGAAACAAAAGCATATAATTTCTGCTGCTTTACTTACATTGCCTATTAAGCTTGGCCAGTTTAGTGCTTACTAAAAGCATCATCTGGTGGTGTGGGGGAAAATAGTTTTACACATATCTAAGTTTTAGTCTGTTAAGAGCTTAAGTGATGCATCGACTTCATCTGAACATAATTTTCTTTGAAGACAAATCTTAAATCCCTGCTGATAGAATCTGAAAGAGAAGTTTAGTCCTTGAGACTATGCATGGTGAGAAAGGTACAAAGGTGAAAAAAGACATGGCAGAAAATCACAGCATCAAAGACAGAGGGTCTGTCACAAAGGATGAGGGTGAGTAGTTGAGAGAAGCAGTCAAGCATTGAGAATAATCAGTGAACAGCTGGAAAGGCCAAGAGGGACCCTGGAAGTCAGGGAGCATTAGAGAGTTTAAGTGTGCCAAAGCCCAGGATTCTGCTTCTTGGGATTCACAGAAAAAAAGGCATGAGTCAAGATTTTCTCAAATGATTTATAGCTTTAGGGGACTTTTATTCTCCAAAACTCTCAGAAATCCAGATTTCACTCTGGTGCATCTTCTCAATTTTTTTTTTAATTTGGACCTAAATGTTGTGCCCATCTGTCCTACAGGAAATATTTCAAAAATACTTCTGGGTCTGCAGACAAACGATCAGTTTTATGGGTGAATATAGAAACACTGACACATTGTCACTGCAATGTTAGGGAGTAACACCTGGAGGGTGTTCATCCTGAACTGCTGTTCATGCTTGGTGAGTAACCTACAGTGAGAAGCGCTCCCCAGCTCCCACAAAACGCACCCACAGCAGTCAATTGCACAGCACTTAAGTGGCAATTATATGTCCTCACGCTGCATCTCAGCACTGGTGAAGTTATGTACACTGCACAACTTTATCTCTGTGATAAGGAGGCACAGCTGTTTTAGTTTTCCAGGCTTCAGACCCAGTAGGAACGGACCCACTCTTGCCACAGCAGAATGTACTTTCACCAGGACAGGACTCAGACACTACGACTATAACACTCACCCTTTCTGTGGTTCTTAATTTAGAAAAATGTTTTATTCCCCCTCAGCAAAATTCAATTTCTGTTGTAGATCAGCACTTCTGTGCTGCACAAGTCCTCCTAGGAAGCAGAAGATTCTGTAAAAGATAGCACTAGCTACTCATACCTTCTACCTCCAAGCCTTAGGTTTTGAGGTTCATCATTCATAATGAATGAGTTTAGTGAAATGTATACATTTTTCTCTCTGGAAAGTGAAACCAGAAGATATTGATAGAATTGACTTCTCCACTTTATAGGTCTGTACACTCTTTAAACTGAATCTCCTTATGCCTTTCTGCAACAATTACCATGACTGAGATGTCTGAGCTTGGAATTTAAAAAACTTAAATAATAACTAAAGAATATTTGCAAAAAGCAAAGAGGGAAATAAATCCAGTGTTGCAACATGCTTTATAATATGTTAATTGGTGGCAACTGAAGATTAGTCTGCCCCACTTATTTTCTGAACAAGTTCCTGCTTGTGTCATAAAATTGTTTTTCCTTTGTCTATTAGAGAAAATAGAATTGCCCTCTCTGGCCCCAGTCTTGCAGACAGCTATATCTTCCACTAACAGTTCCATTAACTTCATTTAAGCTACCTGAGCAAACTGACTTAGTTGGGTATGCAACTGACTGGGAAATTGAAACCTTTGTCCTTAGGCAGTTTCTGGATGACTTTTCTGTCCAGATTTTTCTTCTCTCCAAGCCATCAGTCATTACTGAGTCATGTAGCTATTTAACAAAATGGTTTGCATTGCTTATTCTCCAGTCTGTCTAATTTGATGTTGTCACTGTTAATAATTTCTCATATTGCTAATCTTACATTTGCTGATGGCTGCAGTCATTGCATAGAAATGCAAAAAGCTGAGCTTTATGTAAAAAGAAATAGGAAATAATAAAATAATCTTGGCCCCCTGGATAGAGAAAAAATAAGAAAAACATGAAAATAATATCAGAGGACAATTAAAAATATTTGAAAGTTGTTATTAAGTCTCATTTTTTTAGGCAATATTGTTAAAATAAAAAAAAAAATATCTCATGGTTTCTTGAAATTTGAAGACTGATGAGGGAACTCTACAGGATTGAGGAGTGGACCCATATAAACCTCATGAATTTTGACATGGCCAAATGCAAGTTTCTGCCTCTGGGCTGGGGCAACCCCCAGTATGAATACAAGCTGAGTGCTGAATGGATTGAGAACATCCCCACAGAGGACTTGGTGTACTGGTGGATGAAAATCTGGCCAATATCTGATGCAGCCCAGGGAGCCAGCTGTATCCTGGGCTGCATCAAAGGAAGTGAGACCAGCAGAATTCAGGGTGTTGACTCTTCCTCTCAGCTCAGCTGAGGAATCCTCAGTAGTAGAATGAGTTTGACTTGTGAGAATGGGTCCAGATGAAGGCCACGAAAATTGCTAGAAGATTGGAATAAATCTCCTATGAGGAAAGTCTCACAGCTGGGGTTGTTCAGCCTCCATAAGGGAAGGTTATGGGGAAATCTTATCTTTAAATATATACTGGGCAATCATAAGAAACAATGTTTTTACCAAGGACTGTAGTGACAGGACAAGTGGCAACAGTTTTAAATTGAAGGAGGATATATTTATATATATATATTTAGATAGTAAGAAATTTTTTATGACAAGGTGAGGCACTGGAACAGGTTGCCCAGGGAATCTGTGGATGCCCCATCCCCACAAGTGTTCATAGCCAGGATGAACGGGGCATTAAACAACCTGGTCTAATGCAATATGCCCCTGCCTATGACATAGCGGTTGGACTACATGCTCTTTGAAAGGCCCCTCCAACCCAAACTGTTTTGTGATTTTCATATTGCAATTATTAAAATTATTGTACATAATTTATTATTCTCATGAAGATTTCCTCAGAACTTCAATAAAATTTGCTAAGGAGAAACTCCATAAATAGTTATAACAAAATAGATCAAAATCAATAATTGAAACTATTTTTTGAAACAAAGATAATCTACTTACTTATTTACTATTCTCAAACACATTTAAAGTTATGAATAAAATAACCATTTTCCTTACTCTGCCATCTATTATGTTCCATCTTCTGTATTCACAGAACATGTGACCTTCTCTTGAAGGTCCTCCACACAGAGTATCCTGTATCCTCCACAAGAGATCAGCAGCACATTGCTAGAGAAAGTTGCAACCAAGAGCACCTATTAGGATCAGGGAGAATGACGTGTTGCACCTGGAGAGGAAGGATGGTCATACATTTTTAGCTGTTGCTGAAAGCACTATTGGATCTAGATATGTAAAAGTACAGTTTTTGGATCAAGGGAGGACATACTATTCTGACCAAAAGCAGACCTTTCTGTGTATGAGCTAGTCACACAAAACTCATATTATGTCAGTGGGGAGAGAGCCAGCAGAAAAAAAATCAAGTGAAAACTCATGTTATTCAAAAGCAGAGATAAAAACTCTTTTGTCAACTTTTTTGTTGCTGTTTGTTTGTTTGTTTGTTTACTAACTGTGAAAGGATTCTAACATGGCTAAT